AGGACATTGGTCTAGGATAAAAAGCTTGGAAATTTCACTCCTAGAACATAAAAAACTCTCCAAGTGGGCTGGGAATGTGGCTTAGTGGTAGAATGTTTGCCTAGCATTCATGAAGCCCAGGGTTCAATTCCTCAGTATCACAAAAACAAAAAAGCCAAAAGTGGCACTGTGGCTCAGGTGATAGAATACTAGCCTTGAGCAAAAGAAGCTGAGGGACAGTGCCCAGGCCTGAGTGTCTCAGGACTGGCAAAAAAACAAAACAAAACAAAAAATAAAAACACCTCCATGTTAACTAGATTCCATTGTTGTGTTGGGAAAAAAATAGGAATAAGCACTGCTTATTTTGAGCTGACTTTCAGTGATTCAAATAAATCTGGAGGTCAATAGGTTTCTAGGGATGTTTTCAGATCATGTGTGTCATTTGCAGATCACTCACAGATCACATTACAGATGTCATACTACACATAGAAAAGGGGCTACTCTTTTACATACAACACTGATTTATTATTATCCTTAAGCTAAGATACTAAGTTGTTCTAAGGGCCAAGCATAGGCAGTTCTGGTGGTTTAGACACTAGAGTAAGACTACTTATATCAACAAGGCCATGTTTGTGTAGTATGAAATAAGCCATCTAGAAGAACATCCTTTTTAGCAGTCCTGAGTCCACAAGACTGCAATAGAACCCATCTGCAGTACATCCAAATTGATGGGACAAGCAGCCAGCAACTGTTCCAACCAGAAAATATTAAAGCCTAGGTCTTGCAATAGGAAATGCAGCCTTACTAAATAAGAGTGATATTTTCATTGAAATAAAATTTCATGTCTCCTACTTCTAAAAGAGCACTAGAGAATCTCTAGTATTTCATACAAAACATGTGGCTCTCTCATACCTGGAGAAGAGAAAAAAAAAACAAAACACCAGAAGCTTGCTATATTTTGTCCTTGAGTCAGCTTAGCTATTCTGCTTCAATATGGATATTTTCAGTGGTGTGCGACACTCATCTGTGTTTAGGCTACAGTAAATCAGTGGCATCTCTGTCACTGACAGTCGGAGAACTATCAAAGACACAAAGTAGGACAAGGTCATTTGGGGTTTAGATCTAAAGGTCTTAATGAGCTAGGCAAGCTGCAAAACTCTTCTAGCAGACGGCTGATGAGTTCCTAGAAACTGATGTAACCGTAAAGTTAGAAACTAAATAATTTATAATGTTTTCTTATGTCAAGATCCTCTCTTAGGCACAGAGATTTATTCCAACGTCCTTGGAAGAATGTAGCTCTGATGGCTCCCTCATGCTCTGCTTCCCTGCCCCCTAGCCATGCCTGAATAGCCTGCCACAAATTATCTGTATCCACGGTAGTGAATTGTGAGTTCACTGCCTAGAAATACTTGGGCACTTTTATGAGGCATGATGAATTTTTTATTTAGCACAGCAGTTGATGAATTAAATAGCACCCAAAAGGACTCAAAGAGTTCATGCCTCTCCCTAAGTGCCCATGTTATATAACCCAGAAGCTTAAGAGCGTCTCTAATGTTTAAGACCAATCATATCACCATCTACTGGGGGGGTAGGGGGGGGCGGGTAATGACCTAGTTAAATTAATTACTTCATATAAAATAAGCCCTCTAACACTACACTGTGCACTGTAGTTCTTTATAAACTGTGAAGTACAGATTCTAAATTAAAAGAGATACTCGATATAAAGTATGAAGCACATTCTAGATCCTCAGTATATGTCAGTTCTAGTTCCATTTATTTGCTTTTCACATTTATTTACGCACACAAAATGTTAATAACTACATGAGCTAAAAAATAAGATTGTTAAATCTGAGAATAAGATGATAGAACATTTGAAAAGCCATCTGGCTTCCTTCTTTCCTCAAGAGTTGAGATGAAACCCTCTTTCTCCAAAAGTCCCCATACTGTCTACATTATCTTCCAACATTTCATCTCCCTTAAGTTATCTTCACAAAATAAGAGACTTTTGAACAACACACAAATTCTAGACTTTATTCAGCATTGGAGTCTTAGTGGCCATTTAAAACAACAGTCAAATCTGAAGCCAATTTTCATTCACTGATTTCAAAAAAGAAAAGAACACAGAAAAAGATAGGAGCAATTCAGTAACACACACATGTCTCTTTCCAGAGTGGTAGGAGATGCTGAAAAGAAGGGCTCAAGGGTAGCAGCCACCAAGGAGTGACAATGTAAAGACAGCTATGGGGAACAGTATCCATTTCCCACTATAGGAGGTTTAGGAATGATGGGCGACTAAAGCACCCAAGAATACAGTTCATGAGGAGTTCTAGGAGCACAATAACTCAGTAATTACAAAAATGCTTGAAGCCACCACGACTGCTCAAGGCCGGCCAATTCACAGACTATTGCGTCTACTTATGAGAGAAGGCTTTAAAATTATAGCAATTTGAAAAGTTTGTTTTGTCTGTTGAAACTAAAATGAAATATTAGGGCTTGTATTTTCTTTTTTTTTTTTTGGTTCGGTCGTGGGGCCTGAACTCTGGGCCTGGGCACTGTCCCTCAGCTCTTCAGCTCAAGGCTGCTCTACCACTTGAGCCACAGCGCCACTTCTGGCTTTTTTCTTTTTGCTTATGTGGTGCTGAGGAATCGAACCCAGGGCCTCAGGCATACAAGGCAAGCGCTCTACCACTGAGCCAACTTCCCAGCCCGGGCTTGTATTTTCTATGCCTTCTTTTATATCATTTTGCTAATATCTGTCAGCCATGGCTGGGAAGAGAGGTAACATAGGACCTCTCCAGCCAAGACAAGCCCTGCTTTTTAGGCTGACACTCCCCCGGGCTCCTAACTCTAGTATGCTGCAAGTAGAATGGCAGCCCGTGAGACATCCATCCATTCTGCAGCAGACAGACAACAAGGACCTAGGAAGGATGAAACCCAGGAACGCAGACAGAGAGAAAAGATTTCAAATGGTGGTTGGGGTAAAGCAACAGGGCAAGTTACTGAGCAGGAAAAATAAGAAGAGGAAACTACACAAGAAGGACAAACTGCTACTAAGAGGCACTGAGGTATTTGGGGTTTTTTGTTTTTTGCTAGAAAGCATGAATGCTAACACTGTGAAACAGCACCAGCCACCTCTGCTCAGATTTTCAGTAAGGAACCCATGAGCCCACTAGGAGATAAGACTCTGTTGGAGGAGCAGGAGGTACAGTGAACAGTTCTGAGAAGGAGAACATCATAACGGACAGGGCTAATTAGCGGGCCTTCTGCCTTCTTGGAATATATGTTCCAAGGGAAATGAAGAACTAGCCAGAACCAATCATACCCACTTCTCATGACTCACTTAGGAACAAATTGATACAATCAGAAAAACATATAGCATTAGTCATGAAGAAGGTTCAAGTTAAAAAAAAAACTAAAGAAAAGGTTTGGGAATATTTTCATGTCTTCTTCCCAAGTGAAAATGAAAAGGAAGCTATCAGAAGCAAACAGGTAGTATAGCAGACATCATCAAAAGCATGGGTGCCAGGAGATACAAGATACCAAAATATAAATGCCTCTGGTGAAAGGTTGAATTTTGTATTTGTCTGGCCTGATTCTTCTTTGATTTTGAAAATGGTAATTAGGTATTTTCAAACCAAGTGAACAAATAACTCTTAACTCAGAATGCAAAATGAAAGGAAAGAAAAGACATCCATACTTTAAACTTCTGTGTGGTTTTCCACACAATGTCAGCTTGGAGACAAACAGGAAGCTGCATTGCTTCTAAGAATGAAATCTGGTTCACATGACAGGACTGGGCAGTGACAAGGAAGGGATAAAAGCATTGTCCCAGATGACCATGTCAGGCTCAAGTTCCCACAAGTTAAAAAAAAAATCTAAATAGTCAAACAGTGGCTATAAAAAGAGGCTGTAAGATAGTAGTAAGAGTTTTCATGTATTTTTTTGTAAAGAAAAAACACATATAAAATATTCAATCTTTTCAGCATCAGAGGGAAACTAGAGTGAGATTAGTATGCCCGATGTCCTTTCTCACTTTTTAGCAGAGATAAGGTGTAGTTATGGCTTCCCAGTGCTGGAGGAGTTTAGCATGTTTTGCAGAAGTGCTCTAACTCTGTAAGGCACAGAGGCTTTGGCATCTTCAAGTAAATGAAAGGCTGTGATGCACCCCCCACAGCCTGCATTAGAAAGGCCTGAATCCAGAATCCAGCTGGGCAGGCACCTGGAGCCTGAGGCCTGTAATCCTAGTTACTCAGGAAGCTGAGATCTGAGGATCTCGGTTCAAAGCCAGCCCAGGCAGGAAAGGTCTTGAGACTCTTATCTCCAATAAACCACCAGAAAACCAGAAGTGGTGCTGTGACTCAAGTGGTAGGGCGCTAGCCTTGAGCTGAAGAGCTAAGGGACAGCACCCAGGCCCAGAGTTCAGCCCCATGACTGACCAAAAAAAAAAGGTCCGAATCCAACTAGACACCACGTTAGGGGACCCTGGTGATACCCTGCCCAATCCACACTGAACACTGCCTGACCATGTCATAGACTCTTGCAAAGCAGAGCTCATTCACAGTGGCCTGTGACAATGTGTGTGCAGCTGCTGAGGTCCCCTAGTTTTCTTTGTTGTCCTTCTATGCAACATTTCCCTTCCACAGAAGGTCAGATTGTCTGGTGGTGGCCTCACCTGTTTTTCCTGCTCCACTTTCCCCGGTAATGAGAATACATTGGTCTTTATCTTGATCACGGAGGGATCTGTATGCTTCATCTGATAGGGCAAAGCTGCAGGGGAGAATGGGGAAAAAATTCTTTAGCATTCAGCTTGTTAGTGTGTTTTTATCAGATATAACTCTGGATTCTTTAAAGAGAGATTCTGATTTTCTCTGGAGAATAGGCGAGGTTATTGCATTTTATTTCTTTCAAATTCTTAAAATACATCATATGTCAATAGAGCCCTACTTTGTTGCCCATATTACTTTTTCCATACATTTTCTATTAGCCAAAGTTGCACCACCTTATTGTACTCCTAAACTAAGTCAATGCCATATCAGAGGTCCACAAATGAAACATGTTGAGATTATAATGTTCACTGGAGTTTCGATATAGCAAGGAAACACCTACAAGTAGACAAAATAAAGAAGAAAAATCTTAGAAAATACTCTCAACTACCAAACAGCTGATCTTATCATCAAGAAGCTAAACAGAAAATCATTGTCTTTACAATAAATGATGGAAGTGCTAAGACACCGAAGTCACAATTGGGCTTCTTGTGGTTCTAATCCAGTCCCAAACTCTGCAGGGTCTCACCCTACCTTGCAATGGTAGAGGTTCCCTATGAAGGCAGGCTAGGCCCGTCCTCCTGTTGGCCTTCCGCTCCTCAAAATGCATTAACAAATCATCCTTTCCAGTTAAATAAAAAAATACTTTGGGCAGCATGATAATACTGAAATAGATCAATTTCCTCCTTTTTATTTGTTATCAAGTAATAATTGAGGGTCTAGTATGCAATAAGTATAATCTGGGATTATGGATGTAATACTCAGCCTCCCTCATGAGAAGAAACAAAATAAAGAGCAAACAAAAAAAATGGTTAGTCAATATTCTAAGATGAATAAGAAATGTGCATAAAGGATGGTAGCGTATGTTAGGTTTTTAAAAAGAGGTAGCCGAGTAAGGACAGCACCAGCACATATGTGGTATTCAGGTAAGGGGTAGGTTTATTCAGTAGACCTGCTGGGACCAGGCAAGGTTGGCACTCCACGTGGCTGGGAAAGGCCTGGGAATGAGAGAGAGCTGGTAAAGAGAGGAAAGAGCTAGAAAAGAGCAGAGAGAGGGATAAGAACAGTAGCACTCACATGGTATTCAGGTAAGGGGTAGGTTTATTCAGTAGACCTGCTGGGACCAGGCACGGTTGGCACTCCACGTGGCTGGGAAAGAAAAGAGGAAAGAAAGGAAAGAGAGAGAAAAGAGCTAGAAAAGGGAGAGAGCAGAGAGCTAGAAACAGAGAGAGGTAAGAACAGAGAGAGAGCTAGAATAGAACAGAGAGAGCCTGGGCCAGTGCTAGGCCTTATCTAGGGTATGGGCGGGGAAAGGTGTGGCCACATCAAATTCAGATGTGACCTCAGTGGATGCAGATGTGACCTCTTCCAGGTGTCCCAGTTGCCTAGGTAACGCAGGTACTGGGTGGAGACTTTGCTGCGAGGAGGGTGGAGTCTGCTAGCCATCCGTGATTGACCTTACATTCCAGCCTTTTAATAATCATGAAATAGGGCAAGGATTCTCTCCGGCTACTTCCTGCTGACAAGGGGTGTCGACAATAGGGGTAAAAGGCTGGAATTTGGTCCCCTCCCAGAGAAGGCAGTGAGCAGCAGCTGTCCCTTGGTGGATTGAGTTTACTGAGCCCATGAGAGTGTGGCTCAGGTACCCAGTGGTTCTGGACTGCAATCGTACTGTTTTAATTGCAGATTTCACAAATGTGTCTGGAGAAGGTTCATCGAAGGTTGGCTTTCGGATTTTAGCCAGTTTAGTAGCTATGAAGTATGGCAGGACACTCTGCACAAAGATGCCCTTGCTCTTATACTCCTCATGGAGGCACTGAGAGAAGAAATCTACAAAAGCCTTGGTTGCAGAGTAGATGGTCAACAGGGGAACTGGGAGCATGCCACTGGCAGAGGAGATATTCAGAATCACCCCTTTAGATCTTTCTACCATGCCAGGCAGCACCAATCGGGTCACCTTACAAACAGAAAGAATATTTGTATTTATCAGTTTCTTGATAGTATTGTCCAAGTCAGGAACATCCAAAAAGTACTCAGGATACTCATATGACATTCCCACGTTATTCACTAGAACATCAACTTCCAGACCTGTCCGGCCTGTTTTAATTTTATCATAAATATCTTCTGAAGTGAAATCAACAGCAATGGTCCTTGTCTCCACTTTGAATTTTTCTTTTATATCACTAGAAACTTGGTTCAGTTTATCCTGTGATCTGCTGGTTAAGACAATTTTCATTCCACGCTTAGCTATCTTCGGCATATGATTTTCCAATTCCATCAGTACTGCCTGTGACAACTGCCCAGGCACCGAGCCACGGGCCGACCCCGGCCTCGTGACCCACACCCCAGACCCGGAAGGCCGTGAAGAGCGAGTACGAGACGCGCAGGACCACGTAGGCCGCTGTGCTCGCGCCCACCCAGTACAGGAAGCCGGCGGTGGGCACAGGCTCTCCATGGCTTCTAACTAGGCCTGGCTACCTCCATGAATGAAGGGGAGGGGGGAAAATGTAAGGTCTGCACCCGGATGGCTAGCAGACTCCACCCTCCTCGCAGCAAAGTCTCCACCCAGTACCTGCATTACCTAGGCAACTGGGACACCTGGAAGAGGTCACATCTGCATCCACTGAGGTCACATCTGAATTTGATGTGGACACACCTTTCTCTGCCCATACCCTAGATAAGGCCTAGCACAGGCCCAGGCTCTCTCTCTCTGTTCTATTCTAGCTCTCTCTCTGTACTTACCTCTCTCTGTTCGTTTCTAGCTCTCTGCTCTCTCTGCTCTCTCTCCCTTTTCTAGCTCTTTTCTCTCTCTTTCCTTTCTTTCCTCTTTCCTTTCCCAGCCACGTGGCGTGCCAACCTTGCCTGGTCCCAGCAGGTCTACTGAATAAACCTACCCCTTACCTGAATACCATGTGAGTGCTGGTGCTGTTCTTACTTGGCTACCTCTTTTTAAAAACCTAACAGCGTACAATTAAACTCAGCTACTAGTAGTACTGATGAATTTAAGGTCAGCCCAGAAAGGTTGAAGTCCCATCTCTAAAACAAAAAATAAAAACTTGGGTGCCAGTGACTTACATCTGTAATCCTAGATATTCAGGTAGTAGAGATCTGAGGATTAAAGTTCAAAGCCAGCCTGGGCAGAATGTGTGTAGAACTCTTATCTCCAATTAGCCACCAAAAAGCCCTTTGAGAAAAAGGGTTAAGAGACAATACCCAGGCCCTGAGTTCAGGCCCCAAGACCAGCACTAAAAATTAATTAATTGAAACAAGAAAATAAGAAGTGGTAGACAGCTCAAGTGGTAGAGAGCGTGCCTATCATGTTTAATTCCCAGTACTGGGGGGAGAGAGGCATGCAAAGCATCCCAAAATAGGATAGAAACCTCAAGAGGCAAGAGGTGGAAAAACCAAATGAATTTGCAAAACAAAGGGCTTTTAGGCACAAAGGCTAAAACATCCTGGAGGCAGGTGGGCTATGCGTGGTTTCATATTACTAGAAAGCAAGACACAGGGGGAAAGATTAAGAGACAAGCTGCAGATAGATAGGCAGACCCAAATTAAGAACACAGAGGGAACAGGCAGCCACATCACAGGACTATAAACAGGAAATAACGAATGCGGAGCAAACATGGAGGTCAGACAGTAATTTTAACTAAGAACAGTCACATTTACCATGTACTAGAACAGTCCCTAAACACAAAGCAAGGACATTAACAACTGCCAGTGTGAACAGTGGAGCCAGGACTGACCACTCCTCCTGATCACTACCAGTATACAGTGTTCCTGCATTTTGACCTACTAGCAGGGGCTTGTGGGAGAGCATGGTCTGAAGGCAAGGAGTCTGTTTAACTTTGGCCCAACAGACAATAAGGGGGGCTGTCTACACCAGTTAAGGACGTCTGTTTTTCTTTAGAAGGCATATGGAGGCTTAACACTGACAATTTGTTTACTGGACCCATTAATGGGCCAAGAACTGAGAAGAGGTATCCTGGTTTTCTTAATCAGATCTAATGCTCAAAACAGTACTTCAAATTGATAACCTACTGAGAGAAAGCCATCCTGAAAAAGGAGCATGAGAAGCTCATGACCCCTGACTCCCTTTCTCAGGAGGGTCATAACTTGAACTAACACCATGAACCACCATCTTCTCCCTTATTATACCTTATCTCTGGCTTGACTCCTGGAAGATGTTAGAAGAGAGTGATTTGGCTTGTAACTCTCATTGCAGGTATAAATGCATTCTAAGTGCATTTGTTGAGTGACTGTATGAATATAAGGAAGGAGAAAGACCTAGAAGGAAACATAATTAAAAAAAATATATCTCCAAAAAAAAAAATATCTCCAGGAGCTGATGACTCACGCCTGTAATCCTAGCTACTAAAGAGGCTGAGATCTGAGGATCTTGCAGTTCAAAGACAGCCCAGGCAGGAAAGTCCATGAGTCTTATCTCAAATGAACCATCAGAAAACTGGAAGTGGTGCTGTAGCTCAAAGTGGTAGAATGCTAGCTAGCCTTGAGCATAGAAGCTCAGGGACAAAGTCCAAGCTGAGTTCAATCCCTACAACCAACAACAACATCCAGGGACCCAGGGTCTTTTTAAGTATCAGGTTGCTCTTCGCTTGTTCATTTGAACAGTGCACACTGAACTCTTTCTGTCCCTCAAAGCCTTTCCAATAATTCTCTACATAATCAAAGTCTTACTCAAGATCCACAATGTCTCAGTGGCCTTGGTAACTTCCCAGGTGTTCCTAATTCCCTCATCCCTTCCTTGTACCACTACACACAGGGATAGGGTGGAGGCACAAGCAGCCTAGATATGGCTTTCAGATGGACAACTTTACCTATATGGCCTCCAGCAAGTCATTCACTCCAAAAAACTTTAGTTTCTCTATGTATAAAATGCAGATTTTAGCCAATTAATTGGAAGAGTCAATAACAGTATATTAAGATGTTCTTAAAATATAAAGCCCTAAATACGTGTTAGAACACTTTCTGTGTTATAATTAGTTATATCCAGTTCTTCTGATCCTATACAAGAACACAAGCTCTTCTAGAGCAGAGGCTTTCTATCCAATTAATCTCTGTACTTTCCACAGTGCTACAAGCATAAAATGTAATTAATACCAAGACATGAACGCATGGATGAATGAGTAGATTCTCTCCAAGCAGCACCATAGGCACTCCTGGAGTGAACTTTATGAAAAGGGCAAACATTCAGAAATTATTTCTTCCATAATAATGAAAGGAAAACCCCTTCTTAGAATTCTTATTAGCCTTGTTCCTCCTTCCATTTGCTCCTCATACCCTTTCATTGTTGTTGTTGTTGTTGTTGTTACCTTGGTAAGAAATGCAGGAAAGTACATTATAGTGTGTACAAATGAAGTTTTCTGGCCATACACATTTACTGAACTCTTTATGGATCATTTAAAACAAACCTTTGTTCATATAATGCCAGGACTGAATATATATTTATACCAATATTGGATCCGAAGTAATAGAAAATCGCTTCAAATTGCTTCAATCAATCAATCACTCCTCCCCACTACCCATACATACCCCCCCCCCCCGCCCCACATATACATACAGAGGCTGGAGATCACCAAAGAACTCTGCCATGAATATAATTTGTTCAAGTTGAAGACTTATTTTTTTCTTGTGGGTCCATTTTGAAATAGTCATTGCTCAGTATCCATGGTGCTCATCTCCAGGAACCTTCTCCAACTTTCCACCTCATTTTTTAAAATTTAAACACACACACACACACACAAACCTAGGTTGCTCAAGCCACTTATATAAGATGATCCAGTGTTTGCCTCACCTGTGACCATCTTCCAATATAATTGAAGTCATCTCTCCTCCCCAGAGTACCTAACACAATGCCAATGCTAGTTGTAATACTATATTGTTTAAGGAATAATGACAAAAAGCACCTGCATGCATCAGTACAGACACATTTTTTTCCTAGTATTAGTTTATCTGAGGTTTGTTACATCCATGGATACAGACAGCCAACAACAGATAGGGCTTGATTCACCTAATGGAACAATAATTTTAACATAAGACAACAGGCTAAAAGAGATTATTTATTCTTTCAGGACTCTATAGAGATTGCCATGAAAATTTATCAGCTACAGTACTTCAGCACTGGGAATGCTGACTTGTGCCACTGACACACCCATCTCAAGTACTGTACATATGTCATCATATTTACCTTTTACACTTGACTTAATGATCAAAGGGAAGGATCCTACATACATAGCCCTCTTCTGGTTTGTCTCCTCTTCCTCTCTGGCAACATGAATAAGTACCCATTCCTAAAACGAACATTTTTAACTACAAAATAAAACCACATGCCAGTCCTTCAAGCATCTCTATAATTAAGGAACCTAAATAAATCCTTAGAAAAGTTTTTAGTTAAAACCAGTCATGACCCATATGCTCCTCATTATTTTGTGACCAAGTCAGCATTGTTATTTCCCATGCACAGAAATGAGCGGTTAATTATAATATAATGATGATAACGTAAAGGGAGTGAGCATGGTTTCTGCAGTACCACATCAAGAGCATGGGTTCTGTCATCCAGTTAAGCTCTCTAAGCACAGGGTCAGCCTGATGTTTACATGCAGTATTCCCCTCAGCTCCAGATCAGCTACACGGCTGTTCACTGAACCAAATTTTGTCCAATACCACGTATATCCACCACTTATTTCCAAACAGCTGTATCTATCACTTTTAGCTTTAGAAGGCTGGCTTGGGGCTCATCTGTTATTTCTGTCAGGGTGGAATGTTGGGTTGCACATTTAAAACTGCCCAGCTGGTATTTATGTTCCTCTTCCATCTTATTTCTGCTCAGTGTTAATCACAGTGGTTCTTCCTGCATGGTCATCACAGGCAATAGCAGGGCGTCTCCCCCCCCAAATTCTCTGTGTTCCACCCACCCTGCCATTTCCTTGCTAAGTTTGCTTCACCTCAAATGCAAAGCAGAGAAGATACTGGCAGTCCTCAATTACAACAAACGCCACCACTACCCAAAGCTCCCCCTCCCCCTGGCACCGCTCAGGCCTTCAGCCTCTGCAACTTGTCCCTAATGAGTCACTTGAGAAATCAAGTCCCTTTGGAGAACTTTCCATTGATTCTCTTTGACAGTCAAAGTGTTTAACAGAACAGAACAGAACAGAATTTTTCTCAGGAAATTCTCCTGAACTCAGATAACTAGTTCTACCCATTTTATTTCCAACTGTTTTTCTTCCAAAGCTTTCAAAAATGGCATTCCCTTTCATGGCATCCTGATTCCCAGAGGACTTTTTAAATGACACTAGGGAATTCCCCTTCTGAATTCAACCCTCTTGAAATAGCTCCGTCTCAAAATTCTCATCTATAAATCTCAACATTTTCTTCTCCCTTCTAAAACAAACAGGTCACCCCTAAAAATTAACTGTTTCTAAACTAAGTAACCAAAAATGTGTCTAAAATATGC